TTGTCCAGCACACCTTCAATTGCTTAAGAGAGAGTAGGGTCCTGAGATGTGGGAATTGATAAGGCAAAGAATGGTAGAAGGGGCCAAGCATCTGCAGCAGTGAGGGCACTGGGGAAGTGAGAGGCAGGAGGCCATGATCAGAGAGGGTGTCCTCAGACTCTGAAATCCTGGGAGTGGAACGCTTTTGAGTAATATTTAAGTCCAAAACATGGTGAGTCATCAAGATTAGGTAGATGGAGCCACTGGAATTGAGGAGATTAGTTAATTAGGAACCACTGATGTGGATGGCTCATCAAGAGGGTTAAAGAGTTTGAGGAAAATGATAGTGGAGAGTAGAAAAAATGATCCTGGTCCAGATGCTATAAAATCATCAAAGGTGAGAGAATGCTTTAGACGTCACAGAAGACCACAGTGAGGAATGGCATCGATAGCATAAGCAAACCTTATGATTTGTACAGAGGAAAAGTAGATGGCCTGAAGAGTAAGTGTTAAGGAGGGGTGAGTATAAGACATGCCAGCCTTTTTTGCTCACTCTACAAACGGGATAAAGAGCAGCCATGCCTAATGATCGCTGAAGACACACTATCACCAGGGAAATGTAATTCGGAGAAAGGATATAAGAGGAAAGGTGCATGGATATAGGGTGGTTTGTTTACAAGAAAATGAAGGTCAGGCCGGGTACAGTGGCTCACACTTGTAATCCTAGCACTTTGGGAAGCTGAGGTGGGTAAACCACTTGAGGCCAGGAGTTCGAGACCAACTTGGCCAACATGGCGAAACCCCATCTCCACTAAATACAAAAAAAATTAGCCGGGTGTGGTGGCAGGCACCTGTAATCCCAGCTACTTGGGAGGCTAAGGCAGGAGAATAACCAGAACCCAGGAGGCAGAGGTTGTAGTGAGCCAAGACCACACCACTGCACTCCAGCCTGGGTGACAGAGCGCAACTCTGTCTCAAAAAAGAAAACAAAGGTCAAGTCAATGGATGAGGCTGGTAGAATAAAAGACAAGAATGGAATGGAGTTGGCCTGGGGAGGGCTAACCTGATCGAGGACAAAAGAAGTGAGGGGTTTTCACATGAGCAAGAATCCCACATGACAGAGATGAGGTTCAGGGAAGGAGGGGCTGGGAAGCAGACTGAATGAGCCCTTAACATGAAGGTAGGTGTGGTGCTAGCTAGGCAGAATATGGTTATTTATGAAGAAGCCTGTAGAGTTCAACAAGCCTGCTTACTGCAGTGAGTTGTGACCATTGTCTAAGTAATTTAATGTTTTCCTATGAGAGCTGAAGGAGCTGTGAAAGGGAAAAGGTGCCTCCCATTGAGTTGCAGCCAATGGGAACAATTTGATGTAATAAATAGTCTCAAATGTTGGCTCCTTTCCAAAAAGGCCTTTCAAAGGGGAGTGTGGCTTGCTCTGCAAACTCCTCCTACCCACTCACCACCAAGGATTTCTTCATAGAGACAAGTGCAGTATTAAATGCCAGCCCTTGGAGAAGAAACTAAAGAGCTTATGCTTTTCTAGGACACTGGGCTTATATCCTGAGGTTGCCAGATTTGGATATTTCTCTGCTGCTCTCTTGGCCCCCCACTTAATTGGTGAACTTCTAACTCTTGTGCTACTTGGTATGGTCCAAAACCCAAATATAGTCAACAGTGTAGTGGCTCTGCTGTGCATCGCGGGGGTGCTGATTGGATCTGGATTCCTCAGGTAAGAGATCACAATTCCAAAATTTAGATTGGGATAATCTGTTATTAATGATCACCTAATAGTGACTGTTGTAAAGGAATTCCAGAGGAGAACTGATAGTGATTTCAGATATTACCTTATAGTCTGGAACATTTATACTGCTTGTTAATCATTATTGCCTTAGACCTTGAACTGTTCATTTGTCCAATAAAATGTCTTTTTTATTAAGAATCAGGAACTGACAAGTTTATGTTATGATATGATTCACATGTAATAGGCCGTTATACCAAGAGAAGAAAACCAGTCTGGATGCTCCAGGAAAAACCCACAGCCCATGCGACAGGCTAAATAACTTGCATGCATTAGTTCATTTCTGACCTGATACTGTTGAGTGGGTACTGTAGTTCGCAATTCCCAGTTATTCTTAGGAATTAAGATTAGTCAGATAAAAAAAAAGAGCCTGCAGGATAAAAGACTGTTCCAAAGAGTATTAAGGCATAAAGGACATGAGCCAAATGATAGCAGGAATTATCTCTGGGTGATATTGATTTTAATTTTTTTCTTCATATTTCTGTATTTTATAAATGCTCTATAATGGACAAGCATCATTTTACAACCAGGAAAAAATATATCCGCACTTTTTAAAAAAGCAGCAGCAAAAAGGGCAGAAAATTTTAAAAGGGTAAAAATGATCCCAGCAGGTGATGTGAGTGGGATCTAGTAATTAATCTATGGGTCCCCAAGGAAACATGAAGGCTGTTTCTTTGACTTTTGTTTTTGTAGATGGAGTCTCGCTGTTACCCAGGCTGGAGTGCAGTGGCATGATCTCGGCTCACTGCAACCTCCACCTCCCGGGTTCAAGCGATTCTTCTGCGTCAGCCTCCCGAGTAGCTGGGATTACAGGGATGCACCACCACGTCCAGCTAATTTTTGTATTTTTAGTAGAGACGGGATTTCACCATGTTGGTTAGGCTGGTCTCAAACTCCTGACCTCGTGATCTGCCCGTCTTGGCCTCCCAAAGTGCTGGGATTATAGGTGTGAGCCACTGTATCAGGACTTGACTTAAAATTTTAAAATCCAATCAAAAAGCAAAAACATTACTGAGCATCTACTATATAAAATTATAAATGTGTGTTTAATTATTTAACTCTCAGAGCAATCCATTTTCAGATAAGAAAATGAAGCTCAGACTTGACTTTGCTCGTCACACCACTATGAAGGCTGTGAAGCACGTGACTTCCTGGAGCAAGGCTGACCTATGAGTCAGAAACTTCCTCTACCACTTGCCACAGTTGCTTTTCTATCTAAATTAGTTTCCTCATTTATAAAAAAGAGATCACGATTTCAGCCCCACCAACCCCAAGGGATCATGAGAAGCAAAGGAAATAATCAATATGAAAACACATTATAAACTGTAGTGAGTTATATGAAGGTGAGATATTACAAAGCAAAGTGAACTAAGCTTTGATCAATCAAGGAGGATTTTTTTCACACTAAGACCATTATATTGTATTTGTCCATGTTGCTTAAGTGGATTATTAACATTCATGAAAAATGCAGAAATCAAATCACACCAACAGCACAGAATCAAGCTGGCAATGTACAGATCCAGCCTTAGGCAGCATCTCCTCTGTTGTTATTCGAATCACTGTTTCAGTTAATCTGGTGCCATTTCATGCACAGATGATCCCCGACTTAGATTTTTTGAGAAAGTGATACCTGTTCTGTAGAAAACGTATTTTGTTTTTGTTTTTTTGAGACAGTCTCACTCTGTCACCCAGGCTGAAGTGCAGTGGCTCAATCTCAGCTCACTGCAACCTCCGCTTCCCAGGTTCAAGCGAATCTCATGCCTCAGTCTCCTGAATAGCTGGGACTATAGGGGTGTGCCACCATGCCCAGATAATTTTGTATTTTTAGTAGAGATGGGATTTCGTCATGTTGGCCAGGCTAGTCTCGAACTTCTGACCTGAAGTGATTTGCCCATCTTGGCCTCCCAAAGTGCTGGGATTACAGGCATGAGCCACCACACCCAGCCTAGAAATCATATTTTGAGTAGCCATACAATCACTCTGTATGTTCAGAACAGGATTCAATAAATTGCATTAAATATTCACCAATTTATTGTAAAATAGGCTTTGTGTTAGATGATTTTTCGCAACTGTAGGTTAACGTTAAGTGTTCTGAGCATATTTAAGGTAGACCAGGCTAAGCTGTAATGTTTGGTAGGCTAGGTGTCTTAAATGCATTTTTCTGTTTGTATGTTTGTTTTTGAGACAGAATCTCACACAGTCACCCAGGATGGAGTGCAGTGGCACCATCTCAGCTCACTGCAACCTCTGCCTCCCAGGTTCAAGTAATTTTCCTGCCTCAGCCTCCTGAGTAGCTGGGATTACAGGCACCCAGCATCACGCCTAGCTAATTTTTGTATTTTTAGTAGATATGGGATTTCACCATATTGGCCAGGTTGGTCTCAAACTCCTGACCTCAGGTGATACCCCCGTCTCAGCCTCCCAAAGCTCTGGGATTACAGGTGTAAGCATTGCGCCCAGCCTTAAATGCACTTTTAACTTAGAATATTTTCAATTTATGATGGATTTATCTGGAAGTAACCCCATCATATGAAGCATTTGTATTCGGTTTTTAGGAAAAGGAAGTTAATTGCTCTTTATTTTTTTTTTTGCTTCTTCTCACTCTGTCACCTAGGCTGGAGTGCAGTGGCACAATCTCAGCTCACTGCAACCTCCACCGTTCAGGTTCAAGTGATTCTCCTGCCTCGGCTTCCTGAATAGCTGGGATTACAGTTACGCACCACCATACCTGGCTAATTTTTTAATTTTTACTAGAGATGAGGTTTCACCATGTTGGCCAGGCTGGTCACAAACTCCTGACTTCAAATGATTTCGCTGGCTTGGCCTCCCAAATCCCTGCTGGGATTACGGCCATGAGCCACTGCGCCTGGCAGTTAATTGCTTTTAAAAGGTAGGCAGTGGCCAAGAATACTAAATACTCTCAGATTAGTTGTAAAATCTTAACATCCCAAGGCTGCACATGGATTTCACTCCCATCACTGAATTAAAACTCCACTCTTAAAGGCCACATCAACCTGCTAGTCATTTCATTTACCCATTTTTCTCCCCAGTCATCATCTCCCTAGTGAACAACTACCTGCGGCGTTTGTGCTGGCGGCTCCCTCCTCTTTCAAACACAAAGGAAACTAGCTTTGCCATTCTTTCTGCTTACAAAATCATGCAAATTCTTGGGGGAAGAACTGCACGCAATATAAATCTATACGCGAAAGAAAGTAAAAGTTACCTGAAGTATCAGAGCCCGGAGTCAAATTTTGTTGTAGTCCTTGCTAGAATTTTATATACTTTTTTTTGTTTTTTTGAAATGGAGTTTCGCTCATTGCCCAGGCTGGAGTGCAATGGCGCAATCTCGGCTCACCGCAACCTCTGCCTCCCAGGTTCAAGTGATTCTCCTGCCTCAGCCTCCCGAGGAGCTGGGATTACGGGCGCACACCGCCACGCCCAGCTAATTTTGTATTTTCAGTAGAGTTGGATTTTCTCCCTGTTGGTCAGGCAGGTCTTAAACTCCTAACCTCAGGTGATCCGCCTGTCTTGGCCTCCTAAAGTGCTGGGTTTACAGGTGTAAGCCACAGTACCTGGCAGAATTTTATACAATTTTTAATAAAGATGAAATCATCCTGTTGTGTAACATATAAGCATACCTTTTTTTCCCATTTAACAACATAATATGAATTAGCTGGGTGTGGTGTCACGTGCCTGTAATTTCAGTTACTCAGGAGGCTGAGGCAGGAGAATCACCTGAACCCAGGAGGCAGAGATGCAGTGAGCAAAAATTACACCACTGCACTCTAGCCTAGGTGACAGAATGAGACTCCGTTTCAAAAACAAAAGCAAAAACAACAACAACAAAAAAGGACAAACCAACATAATGTGGACAATGTCGTGTCAATACATCTAGATCTCTGGTTCCTCCCGCTGCTTGTCCTTTTGTCTGTGCTTTTCACTGATCCATTTCTGTCACCCGCACAGTCCGTTGTTCCAAACGTTACAGACACACTGTCTCTGAAAGCCCCTTGTTTTCTCTCTCAGCCTATCACACGCTACCTTCTGTCACAGTCTTCCTTTACAGTAACAGATTAGCCGCCTCTTGAAGGCAGCAGCTGTGTCTTATTCATCATTTTAGACCTTCTCAGCGGCCAGCCCGTGGGCCGTGGACCAATTACACCTGCAAACATTATTTGTGAATTGAGTGAATAAGTGAATGAGTCCTCTGTCTTTGAACTGTATACACACTGTATCACTCATCAAATTATGTTGGTTTTCTTTTCTGATATCAAACTGTAGATGCATGTGGAACGTTCTGTGTTTGACTCTGTGTGGTACAGGGAGAAACAAAGGTGCCGCAGTTCCTACCTCAACAAGATAGCACTCTAGCCACCAGGCAGCCACCCTCACAGCCATCATCCTACTTCAGACCTTTGTCATCTTATACTTCTATTGTAGTCTGCTCCTTTTTTATTTTATTCATTTATTTATTTTTGCTGTTCTTACTCTGTCCTCATTCTGGCCATCCTACTTGCTGGAGTCAGGTTAATTTTCTCAGGATGCTGACTTCAGCCTGACCTTTCTCATTTATGGTCATTCATCCTCAACTCATGTCAAGCACCTGAAATGCCTGTTTCTGGCTATTGTTTCAAGCTTCCCTCCCACTGTTCATACTTCACATCCTCTGCTCCAGTCTTTCTGATCTAGTCAGTCCCATATGCAGCCCTTGACATGCCTGTACTCATACCATTTCTGCCTTCCTAGAATTTCCTTCCTCTTCCCCTAATTCCTTCCCAGATTCCCATGTATCCTTTTCAATGAGCAACCTCTCAATGTGGTTAACTCAATTTTGTGCCTTAGGAAATTGCCAATAACTAAAAGTTTGGGGGCCACTTGGAAACAGGTGAACCCATATGTACTAAATACAAGAATATCATGGATATATGGCACACATGTTTTTATACTTTCTTGGCACAAATGGTTCACCATTATTTGAGACAAATAGTCTCACTTTGGGAGGCCAAGGCTACTATTTGAGACAAACTATTCACAAATAGTTCATTACTCCAAAGGAAGACTGTGACAGGAGGTGGCGTGTGTATTTTTATAGTTGTAAGGATATATTCTATATCTCCAGCTACATATGAGTTCCTTAGGGATAGGATATGTCTTTTGAAGTTCTCAAGCTCCTAGAACTGGTGCCTTGCAAACAAAATTTTATATCTTTTGATTTTCAGAAAATATATAGTGGACTAAGAAGATCACAGTGTCAGCATAAAGTCTCACCTGAAATAGATTGGAGAGGAGACATATTTCATTTTCACAATAAATGTTGGCTCAGTCTCTCCTTCCTTTTTCCTTTATATTCTAGAATAGTTCTAACTTCCTACCCTGGTACCTTCAACTTTCTGTTTAATCACAAATCTCCTCCTCCAACTGGTGTGTGTTAGGTCTGTGTTTTCTTGTATGTTTATGCCAATAGTGCTTACCAAAATAAGTAGACAGTAATGGATCATGAGAGAACTGTTAAATTAAGGTCTTCACTATCACAGGCCACCACGCTGTGACTAAAAATGACAAAGTGCTATGCTTACTGACTTGGAAGGATGTCTGAGACATATGTTTGGCAGAAAAAGAGTAGGTTAGGAAAGAGGATGAAGAGTTTAATTCTGTATACAACATGGAATACTATGCAGCCATAAAAAATGATGAGTTCATGTCCTTTGTAGGGACATGGATGAATCTGGAAACTATCATTCTCAGCAAACTGAGAACAGAAAACAAGAACAGAAAATAAAACATTGCATGTTCTCACTCATAGGCGGGTGTTGAACAATGAGAACACATGGACACACGGAGGAGAGCATCATACACTGGGGTCTGTTGGGGGGAAGAGGGGAGAAACAACAGAGGGTAGGGAGATTGGGGAGGGATACCATGGGGAGAAATGCCAGATATAGGAGGCAGCAAGCCACATTGCCATGTATGTACCTAAGCAACAATCCTGCATGTTCTGCACATGTACCCCAGAATCTAAAGTGCAATAAATATATATATATAAATAAAGAACTTATCATGCAATGTTTAAATGCAAATGTATAACAAATTCAAAATGCAAATGGGTATATGCCAAATTCTGTAATAGGTCTATCCCAAAAGGATAACATGTTCAATTTAATATAAACAAATTATCCTCTGAAAAAAAAAGTTTATATAAAACTTTATAATTTAATTTATAGTTTATAGTTTTATAGTTTAATTCCATTTATATAAAACATTATATATATAACCAAAATGTTAACAGTAGTTATTTCTAGGCAATGGTATTTCTTTATATTTTTTAATATTGTTTGACGGTTTCTTTTTATAGCGAGCATAACTTTTATAATAAAGAGATAGAAAACTATATTCATGTTGGAAAACATGACATAAGGATTGCCTTTATTTTCATCTGGTGGGACTATTGCCAGAGACTACTGAATTTCATTTTTGTTTTCTTTTTTTTAAGAAACATACAAGAAATGCCCATTCCTTTTAAAATCATCAGTTATTTTACATTCCAAAAATATTGCAGTGAGATTCTTGTAGTCAATGAGTTCTACGGACTGAATTTCACTTGTGGTAAGTATTCTATTTGGGGATATTATTTTTACATGTTACTCTGAGGTAGCAATTTCTTAGAGGAAATGTATTTTTGAAATAAAAGCTGTGTTTTATAATAATTCAATTTAAAACTCTGTTTTGAAATACAGCCTAACATTTTCTCTGATTTTTTTTTTTTTTGAGACAGAGTCTCACTCTGTCACCCAGGCTGGAGTGTAATGGTGCAATTTGGCTCACTGCAATCTCTGCCTCCTGGGTTCAAGTGGTTTTCCCTGGCTCAGCCTCCTGAGTAGCTGGGATTACAGGCGCCCGCCACCATGCCTGGCTAATTTTTGTATTTTAGTAGAGACAGGGTTTTGCCATGTTGGCCAGGCTGGTCTCAAACTCCTGACCTCAGGAGATCAGCCCACCTCAGCCTCCCAAAGTGCTGGGATTATAGGGGTGAGCCACCACCCCAGCCTCTGATTTTTAAAATGAAAGAAAATATGCAGTGGTCAAATTAGTCTCCTGTCAAAGGTCAATAGGTAAAGGCCACTTTGATGTTGTTAAAAAATGACAGGCCTTATGTACACTAAGGTAAACTCTAGTATATTCCAGATAGACTCAGTTCCTGCATCTACTGAACACATTCAAGCAGGCTGATGTGACCTCTTGTTCCCCAAAATGTACATTGTACTAGCTAAGTAAAGACACTTTTGACAAAAGTCTATTCCTCAATCCCACCAGATGGAAGTAGGACCAGGACAAGGACCTTATGGCCATTAGAAATCTCAGGGTGACCGGGCACGGTGGCTCACGCCTGTAATCCCAGCACTTTGGCAGGCTGAGGTGGGTGGATCATGTGAGGTCAGGAGTTCGAGACCAGCCTGGCCAACATGGTAAAACTTTGTCTTACTAAAAATACAAAAATTAGCCAAGCGTGGCGGTGCATGCCTGTAATACAAGCTACTTGGGAGGTTGAAGCACGAGAATCACTTGAACCTGGGAGGCGGATGTTGCAGTGAGCTGAGATCGAGCCGTTGCACTCTAGCCTGGACGGCAGAGTGAAACTGGGTCTCAAAAAAAAAAAAAAAAACCCTCATGGCCACTCCAAAGACAACCAAAGAATATGGCTGAATTTAGTAGCTGTTTTAAATAAGTTTAGGTGATAATGTCAGTAACTTTAGGATAGCCCCTGCTAAGTGGTCATGATTTTTATCACGAATACGTAATGAATCTATACGCAAAACAGAAACAAAAACATATCCATCTTCAAATGAAGCCAAAGCCCAGAACTGCTCACTCTTGCTTCATCAAATTGTAAATTCTGGGCTTGCTAAAGTGTCCTGTATTTTTCATTAAGAAGGGTACTTAGCAAGCATTTGGTAAATACTTGTTGATTAAATTACCTGAGATAAACCATACCTGACACTGTCAATCTTTTCCTTGGCAGGCAGCGCAAATGTTTCTGTGACAACTAATCCAATGTGTGCCTTCACTCAAGGAATTCAGTTCATTGAGCAAACCTGCCCAGGTGCAACATCTAGATTCACAATGAACTTTCTGGTTTTGTATTCATTTATTCCAGCTCTTGTCATCCTAGGAATAGTTGTTTTCAAAATAAGAGATCATCTTATTAGCAGGTAGTGAAAACCATGGCTGGGAAAATGGAAGTGAAGCTGCTGACTATGCATGACTGCTCTGAATGTGTGAAATGAGAGTGCCATGTATTTCTTTCTTGATAGGACATCTTAAGTCTTTTAACCATTAAGACTCCATTTGTGCCTCCTGGATCCACGCGGGCCCTGAATGCAGTGGAAATGGTTCAGTCCCTTGCTGAACGTGTGGTATTTGGAAGTTTGTGACTGAGCTGGCCCAACAATGTAAATAATAATCATTCATAAAACAATGGGAGACTCGTCTATTTTTTCCCCTTGTTCTAGACACAGAAAAAAATAAGTCAGCTTAAAAATATGCTTACATTTGGTAAAGGATTAGGCAAAAACAAAAGGCTTGAAGGATTACTGACTATAAGTGACAGAAAAAAAAGTTTTGGGTTTAGCTGAAGCAAGGTTATCATGCAGAATTGGGTAAGAATGCTTCTGTTCATGGAAAACCCAGAGTTAAATGCACATGTGCACACGAGGGGTTGGAGTTACCTGATTGCATCGAGAGAATGCTGGGCAGATGGATAATGAGCACCAGTGTGACAGAGCACCCGGTGACTTTACTGAGGATTAAAATAAAAACTGTAGGAGTGGGCTCAACAGTGAACAAAACACACCAGACAAACCTCTGGTTATGTTTTTAAAGATTCGTTTGCTATTTTCCACTTTCAGCTGAGTTTACTTATAGAATTACAAGTAAATGTTTAAGTGTATACACTGAGAAATAACCTCCTTAAGGTTGGAGATTAGATGTTAAAGTCCATGTAGAAAAAATGCTGATGTAGCTAGACATGGTGTCTCACGTCTGTAATCCCAGCGGCTCAGGAGGCCGATGTGGGAGGATCGTTTAAACCCAGGAGTTAGGGGCTGCAGTGAGCTGTGATGGAACCACTGCGCTCCAGCCTGGGCAACAGAGACAGAGCAAGACCTTGTCTCTGAAAAAGAAGGAAAGAAAGTGTTGACATACTATTTACAAGAAGAACAGGGTGCACACTAGAAATTCACATTCTTGAACTGTAAAGAGCGCTGATATGTATAAATACAGACACCTGTATTACATATTTTCAACGATAAAATGATGTAAATAGGTTACTAAAAATGGGTTCTGTATTAAAATGACTGATTCTGATTGATCTTCAAGTAATTCATGTACAAACCCAAAATGAAACTGTCTCAATGTTACTATGGTAACTTTGGGTGAGAATATGGTAGAGAGGACATGAACTTGTTCACTTACTGTGACCTAACTTGTGAAGAAAGATAAATTATAGCATTTGAATGTCACACACTGAAGTAGGAAAGATCATTTCATTAAGGAAACCATAGTAAAATTTTTTCTTAGAACAGTATTTAAGGATGTGGAGGAATTGGTAAATTATCAGACTAGTATTGTCAATTTTTATAAAAGGTCTTTGACATGGATGATTATGGTATAATAGTTACACAATGTCTTACAGATTATATATGTCACATCAGTTATAGACAATTCTGGAGATGATAATCTATTAAAGTAGTTCAAAAAGAGTCCCACAGGAACCTCTTTTGAAATCACTGATTTCAACTTACTAAAGATATGGGTGTACAACATAAGTGGAAACATTTTCTACTATTCATATGCAGATGAATTTCATTCTAGCTCAGAAACATTTGGAAAACCGACATCACATGTGACTTCAACCTATTAAATGTTAGTGATACCACCTTAGAAAAACACAATGGCTTTCAATATGTGACAGTTTGTGTCTCAAGTCAAAAATGGACAGTGATGTGTAAGAAAATCAAATTACATAATAACAATTCCTATTACTCTTGTGGAATAGGCTGTTTTTTCCTACCAAGTCAGTGATATTTCTGAGATCGTAATGTTCACTGTAAATTTAAAGGGATCTCTTTTCCCATAGCACTCAGCAAGAAACCTGTGCTTAAGACCGAGGTTCCTTGGAAACATACTGAAAATTGTTTTCAAGGGTTTTAGAACCACACATACTGCAAATAATTTATGAAGTCCTAGTTCGTTGCAATAAGCAGATGGCGTGCTATCTGCACAGACACCCCTCCCTTGGGGTAGTAAATGTGCTTATCTGAAGCTGGGTGCATGGCATATTAGAGTCAACATATTTTATAGGTGGACATGGAAGAATACAGAATAATTTTTAATCATAGCAATCATACTTACTCAAAATGAACTTGGTCAGCAGGTACACTACAGGTTGGAATGCCTTCTTAAAGGCTATCCCACCTCGGAAATAATCCTGGTTATCCCCAACACATGATGTTTTGTCCTGCTTCTTGGTAGGATATCTCCTTAAATGTGCCTGTTCTTCAAAAAGTGATATTTAAAACAAATGTGTCAGTCTCACGGAGGGGTGAAATGGGTGCTGATTAAAAATGCCCCATTCCAGACCACTGATTGAGACTTTCTAGATGTGGGGACGCAGGAACACACATCTCCTATTTCAGGTGCTTTTTGTACCTCACTGTTAGAGTAAAATTTTGACATCTGTGAACCCAATTCCTGTTTCATCCCAGCTATAGCTGAGAGTGCCTTTTGGAAGCAATGTGTCTAACATGGGCACTAAACCTTGCATGTAAAACTGTCAGCAAATACTCTCACTTTTATATTCTTAAAAACATATAAGCAGAAACTTATACATGCTGAATTGAACATGTTAAAGGTAGGTAGATTATTTTATTTAAAAAAATTACACATGGTTCTGAAATATTTTTTTCCTTTTAAAAAGCTTCAAGATATACAGGGAGATGCACTAGTTCAAGAAACCCAGCTTGTCCTTTAACAAATTATACAGTTTAACTTTCTTCACATATTATCACAATAGTTAATTCATAATATAATCTTATTTGGATTTGGAAAAGAAGATACAATAATTGAATTAGGCTCAAGAATCAAGTTCGATTTGTTTCCAAGACTTGGAAGAATTTCTTTTGTACTGTTCCAGTTCCTAAAACAAAAATATGTATTAAGAAAAATCAACTTTATGAATTCAAGGAGGCACCTTAAAATTGCCTTATCATTTCTTAGATATAATAATGTATCCTTAATAGCATTATCATTCTAAAGATTTCTTGACAATTATTTTATAAATGATTATGCTTAGGACTTATTTTCTAGAAATACAATCTTCAGAGTTTCTGTGTTGCTAAGCAGCACTTAGAGATGCACTTATTAAACTTTTAAACAAAATTATGTACATAAACTACATAATACATATGAATTGCCTTTCAACTAATGAACTAGACATTTGTCATTCTTCAAGTATTTAAAGGTGATCTTATTTTTAATTGTTTGCTGTTCAGCTCTCATCAAAAACTTGGTCGAAGTAAGCAAAATATTTAAAAAATATATACCCGGGCTGGGTGCGGTGGCTCATGCCTATAATCCCAGCACTTTGGGAGGCTGAGGCAAGAGAATTGCTTGAGCCCAGGAATTCAAGACCAGCTTAGGCAACATAGGGAGACCCTGTCTCTACAAAAACTGAAAAAAAAATATAATAAAAAATCATGGTGGTGTGCGCTGTGGTCAGCTACTTGGGAGGCTGAGATGGGAGGATCACTTGAGCCTGGGAGGTCAAGGGTACAGTAAACTGTGATTGCACCACTGCATTCCAGCCTGGATGACAGAGTGAGACCCTGTCTCAAAAATGTGTGTGTGTGTGTGTGTATCCTTTGTCCCAGTGATTTTACTTTTAGAAATTTATCATACATAATAGAGCAACGCACAAGGATGTAAAGAGAAGGAAGATCATAACTCATGGTTCTATCTCAGCTCACAACTGGAAATAACTTTGATGTCCCCCAGTAAGGACTGATTAAAAAATTAGCGTTCATTCACAAGTGGCTTCCAAGGCAGCCAGCAAAAATAACTGTGGCCACATGAAAAGATAGTATGTGCCACATGAAAAAAGCACACAGGTAGGGAGAGGGCAGGTACTTCCATTTTCTATTTTCATACTTCTATATATTTTGAATTTTTTCACAATGAGTATATGTTACCATTACAATTCATCAATAAATTTTAGTGGAGACGGATATCCGGCACAAAGCAACTGACATGAAAAGGGACCATCTAAAGGGATGCCTCCCGGCCTTCTACATGGTGTTCAATGTCTAAATAACTGTACAAAGGTTATTACCACTTCGGATAAACAAAACATGGTTACTCTGCAAGATAAGACAATCATTGCCCTTTGGCTAACATAATTGAAGTTGCTGTGAAAAGAAAAACCATTCTAATTTTCAGAAACACTGCAGATTGTGCCTTTCATACCTATACTCTAAGTTATTAAAATTTAAATGTTAGACGTTTCAAAATGGTATATAGACTTTGGAAGAGTGTTTTCCTTGTTTTTTTTTTTAACTCCTCACTGGATTCTAGGAAGAATTTCCATGGTAATAATCATATGTAGTCTTTACAGCTTGGTTTATTTTTTTCTAATGAAGCTAATTCAGTTCACCAGTTATCTACCACTTGTGGTTTTAAAGATTAACTTATAAAGAATAAACAAATTGTTTATTGTAAACCTTGTCTTTAACTGGAAGTGCTGAATTATTATTGCCAATGACAAAGGTGAAACCGTTGTTTTGAGATTCTTTGCTAGTAGTGTCTCCCTTTTGCAGATAGCAAAGTATAAGAAAACTAGGGCTGTCACACAGGCCATACCAGAGGGAGAAAAAGGAATAACCAGTGTGAGACAGAACCCACCAAGTCCACTAGATCATCAATATGACAATGATATGGCTCCCAAATAATATATTGATGGTTTAAAGGGATAGCAAGTGAAAAGTTTTCAAAAGATATCTGTGATTGGCCAAGAAGGCCTTAAAAACAAATGTTAACTGTAACTTTTTTTTTTCTTTTTTGCTTTAACAAAAATACAGAAAAGAAGCTGGGCACAGTGGCTCAGGCCTATAATCCCAGCACTTTGGGTGGCCAACTCAGAAGGAATGCTTGAGGCAAGGAGTTCAAGACCAGCCTGGGCAATAAAAAAATAAAACCTGGGCATGGTGGCGTGTGCCTGTAGTCCCACCTACTTGAAAGGCTGAGATGGGAGGATTGCTTGAGCCTTGGAGCTCAAGGCTGCAGTGAGCCATGATCTCACCCTTGTACTACAGCCTGGATGACAGAGCAAGACCAGTATCAAAGAAAAAGAAAAAAACACAAAAGAGGGGGAAGGGCTTAGCAAGTACTTTCCACACTCACATTCCTTTAAAATCGAGAATGCTTTAAAGCTAGTGGGCTTTTAAAAAGTAGAAAATACTACTGAAGTATTTTCTGGTGCCCATGTGAAGTTTGGCAAAAGACAGAGCTTTGAATAATTAAAGAGAGCTAATCATGAAAGACCCTAAGTCTGTAGGAAACATGAAAGGGGTCTTCCTAGATCCTTGAGGACTGATTGCACAGACACAACTGGAAACAACATAAGGTCTCAAAACTACTCCTGAAAGAGTTTGAAATCATATTCAAATTAAAAATTTTGTGTAGCAGAATGTCAAAATTTAGATTCAGATTATCAATGAAAGAACTGAGCATCAACACTGATAATCATTAGGGTATCTTTAAAGCTAAAGCACAAATTATGTTAAGGTACTATGTGTGCAAACTGGATCAATGCAATTCATCTAAAACCACACTAATCAAACTGGTTTAAGAGGCAAACTTAGGATAGCACAACTTTTCAGGTAGGTTAAAAAAAAAAATCTCGAACCAAGAGATGATAGGAATTGGTGATCTGCTGGCAGTGATATACAAGAGATGAATGAAGAGTGATATGGGTACTGTGGGGCGGCCTTCCTTCCCACACAAAATTCTTTTGGTTTTAAGTCATTTAGAGAAGATAGATTTGAATGTGAAAACTCATGATGCTCACAAATACCCTAATCCTTTAGTAATACTGATGTATATGAACTTAATAAAAGTGATCCTTATGCAACATAAACAGATATTCTTATCAACAATGACAGTTAATCATTGACTCCTCGATAAATATTAATCAGGGATGACTTCCAACTAATCTTTACAACGTGAAAACATAATAAGGATTACATGAGGTCATTTTCCTGTTTCTGCAACATGCCTCTCACTTTGCTACTGCTACGAAACCTTCTAAATATTCATGGCATATTTTTCAAAAGTCTTCTGGACTCTGTGTTTACATAAAATGTTCTGCTTACTTCTCCAAGGGTCCCCTGAAGGTGAATGCTGAGAAAAATACCCTGGTTCCTGCTCCCAGCTGATAGCTGTATTCAGGTTACCCTCATAACAACGTGACTGTCACTGGGGTGGCTTTCAACCTAGTGCTTACCACATGTAAGCTTACTCCTATAAGGACAGAATCTGAACAATGTCTCATTTTATCACATCAAACTAAAATCTAAGTTTGCTTGTTTGTTTTCAGAAAAACCTAAGTATTTGGGTCATAGTGAATTTACCAACCCTTACATTCTTACATCAGACTTATGTGTTCAAATGGGGCTTTCTAGGGATACACGGAATGGTAGCAGCCACTTTTAAGCATTTTCCTGAGAGATCCTGGGTTGTGTCAGATATGCCTGTGTGCTTTCAGATTATGCTTTCTGTCCTTAACTAGGTGAGATACGTTTTCTGGTACAAGGAAAGTATATGTATGTCTGAATGTCCTAATCAAAACCAAAACTCTGTACATAATTCCACAAACCAAAGAATATTAAGAAAATGTCTCTCCAGCAGCAAGGTAAGAATCACGACTCAACTTTAATGTAATAGAAACTGGAAAATCAAAAAGGTTTATGTGAACATGAAGTCATGTCTGGGTGGTAGGATGACAGGCGATTTTAAAATGTTTCTTTATTCATAGCAAAATTTTATTTTTTTCTACAGTATACTATTAGTGTGTTATTTAAAAAGATGTACTACTTAAATCATTTTAACAGTGAAAAAGAAACACTAAGTAAATACATTGAGAAAAATGTAAGGAATTCACAAGGCACTCTAGGTTTTGTGATAAAACTTGAGATGAAATTAAGTAAATGTTTAGGATAATACCTGATCCTTCTGAATTCTCATCTCATCTACTTCACTTTCAGCATACTGAGGATCTCTCGCGGGGTCCTTGATATCTTTCAGCATGTTAATACTCTGAAATTATAAATCTCCAAATCATTTAATGCCTATAACCCAAAATTCAATGGCTACCATCTGCCTAAAAAAACCAAGTTCCCATTCCTCAGCCTGCCACGAAGGCTCTCTAGGATTTTCCAAGCCTTTTTCATCACCGCTGAGGCCCACTTCCCATTCCACAAGTCCCCTTTCAGTTCCCTCTCCCTTCTCTAACTGCCAGATAACTCTCTTTGAAAGTGGAGCAGGATTGCCGGGCGCGGTGGCTCACGCTTGTAATCCCAGCACTTTGGGAGGCCGAGACGGGTGGATCACGAGGTCAAGAGATCGAGACCATCCTGGTCAACATGGTGAAACCCCGTCTCTACTAAAAATACAAAAATTAGCTGGGCATGGTGGCGCACGCCTGTAGTCCCAGCTACTCGGGAGGCTGAGGCAGGAGAATTGCTTGAACCCAGGAGGCGGAGGTTGCGGTGAGCCGAGATCGCGCCATTGCACTCCAGCCTGGGTAACAAGAGCGAAACTCCGTCTCAAAAAAAAAAAAAAAGAAAGAAAGTGGAGCAGGAACCATGTCTTACTCATCTTTTAACCCCCACAGTGCCTATTTGCATTTTTAGCAGATGTTTAATTGATTTTTGAGCATGAGAGATAAAAACAAAGTGATCATAATAGGCCCTTTGGCACATTTCCTATAGCTGTTAGATATAGTGCTAAAAATCTTGCTTTAAAAAATTAGAATTATGTACCTTTGGTGGAAAGAGCTTTTCATATACTTTTTTCCACAACTCCATTGGTGAGTGGGCATCAAGCTTTCCAATGTCATTTTCAGGAACAGGAGGAGATCCTAAAATTGCAAGTTTTACTCCAAATGACTGCATTGATTAAAATATTACAAACTCTACCAATAAAAGAAATGACACTAACAAAGGTATGAATCTTACATCACTCATTTTCCCTCTCCTTAATGTAGTCACTGTTAAAATTTATCCCTACCCAGCAGAGGAAGTCACTGGGACAGATTCTAGTATTGAAAGAAGAGGAGGCAAAGAGTAAACTGGGTGAACTGAAACGCTCATTCTCCACACCCTGTACCTACACCTATATCTATATCCTGTTAACTAGTAATTCCAGTTCTTGGTAGTGTTTACCCTAGAAACACCTGCAAACTGGTATTGTATTAAGGACTTCACACTGCAGCATCATTTGTTATCAGTGAAAAATTGACCTACAACCAAAATATTCATCACTGGTGAACAGTGCATTAATTACTATGTATAGCCATGCTCTGTAACACAATCCAACAGTTAAAATATGAAATAGACCCATATGTCGGATTGATATGGAAAAGCTACTAAGGTAGATTGAATAAAAAGGAGAAATTCCAAAATGATATAGACTGAACATACAATTATGTTAAAGCAAATAGTTTTCTACAGTATATATATGTGTGTGTAAATGCATAAGAAATTGGAAAGAACACAAATTTGCTCCTTATATGTACTTTTACCTTTTTACAAGGAGATTATCTTTATGTATTACTTGTATAATTTAATTTAATTTGAAAAATGTAAAATTTTGCCAACATTTGCAATTTGTAACAGGATATTTCCCATTCTATTTCCAGCCTCTATATTGTTCACCAAAACGGTTTTGCTGGTGCTCTTCCAGGACATGCTTACGACTCTGGTGGGAAAGGCACTAATACATTCCACTGATGTTATTCAGCTTTGCCAAGTTTCACTTGTATTCCTTTGTGTGTCTGTGTGTATATTCAGTTCTATACAATTTTACCACCTGCATAGGTTCCTGTATTTGCTACCACTTAATTCCACTAGCGCAAGGAGCTTGTGTTGCCCTTTTACAGACATACCGTCCTCCTTCCCGACCTCTCCCCTGGTCTCCTCAACCACAGTCCTATCCCTACCCTCTGACCACCAGTAATCTGCCTCCATTTCTAAAATATTTTTCATTTCAAAATTTTTTATAAATAGAATCACACTGTATGTAATCTTTTCTAATTGGCTGCTTTTCACTCAGCGTGATTCCCTGGAGAGTCCTCCAGGCTGTGTGTATCAATCGTTCGTTCCTTTTTATGGCTGAGTAGTCTTTCCCGGGACAGATGTACCACTGTTTGTTTAGCCATTCACCTGCTGAACAACTTCTGGGCTGTTTCTAGGTTTTGACTACTACACATAAAGCTGCTGTGAACATCTGCCTAGAGATTTTTGTGTGAAAGTCAAGTTTTCATTTCTCTTGGATAAAATGCCTAACAGCACAATTTCTAGGTCATGTGGTACTTACATGTTTAGTTTCATAAGAAACTGTCAAACTGTTTTCTAGAACAGCTGTACCATTTTACACTCCCACCAGCAACGTATGAGAGATCTGTTTTAGCAATTTTGTTAAGTGTATAGTGATAGCTCATTGTGGTTTCAATTTGCATTTCCCTAATGATATTAAATACCTTTCTATGTGCTGCTTTGTTATTTTTATGTCCTCTTCTGAAATGAAATGACTGCTTGTATCTTTTGCCCACTTTTTAATTCTTCGTTTATTTTTCTATTGAGTTTATATATTCTAAACACTAGTCCTTTGTCATATATGTGGTTTGAAATTATTTTCTCCCAGACTGTGGCATGTCTATTCATCATCTTCCCATGGGCTTTCACAGAGCAAAAGTTTTAAATTCTGATATCTAAATTTTTAAATTGAGTAATTATGATTTTTAAATTGAGTAATTCTGAACTCTCTTCTGGCCTCCAACTATTCACAGGGGCAAAAGAATTCCATCAGCATTATCTGTTAGTACACACAGTGATTCTCACTGCTACTGGAATTAGGTTGGCGCTAATGATAATCATAAAAATCCATCTCCATGACCGTTCATTAAACAAAATCACCTCCATTCCTTTCATCTCAATTAATCTATAATTTCATTACAAAGATTTCTATATTTGAAGTCAAGTCACTTTTAGCTTGTAAGACTAATAGAGGATGGGAAATAAAAAAAAAACCCACTACTGCCCATTACAGTGTTAAAAGCAAACTATGCCACCTGCCAAGGATAAAGAACTCTGAGGCTCAAAGATCTTCACAAATGAAAACAGCTTCTGTGGGAAGGTAAGGGGCTTGAGATATAAACTCTTAAACTTCCTTTTGATTCAGAAGCCTACAGAAAGTTCAGGAAATACATTCCATTAGATGAGGCATGCTATTTTATAACAACAAATTAAATCACACCTAATTGTTACAATTGTGTTCTTTTTGGTGTATTCTACCACTTTAATCTCTCATATACTTGCCAATTGCCTATAACATGTAGCTTTGAATTTCCTCACTACACTATGCTTCTAGTTTCTTTAAATCCAAGGAGCTAAAATTTTAAAGTACCTGGAAATCAGTGGGGGAAAGAAAATACATGAAATTTGTTTTTTAGTGGAATAGAGATCAGAAATCAGTCTCTAATATGGTGACATTGCTTTCATCACAAACATGTCAATGTGATGCATGTTGCATTAATACTGGGCATGTAAATAAACATACAGGAAATAACAGCAATGATAATGAAACCAGAAAGAGTATGTTGGAGACAAAGTAACCATGGAGTAGGATAAAATCAATAAGCAATTAAAAAAAGATTCAACAATCTTAATAAGTTCACTAACCTATCTGACTGAAAGAATCCAGTCCTGCTGTGATAAACAGTGGTTTATTCTGATCCACACATATTGATTTGCTACGTGGAAAAGAAAGATTCTAAATTAGTTTAGCAATTGAATTTGCTACGACACTCTTCCATAAACATGAGAGCCATATTATTGGGCTAGTTTTACATTTAGCCACTAATGAGAGCACTGCCCCAAATGAATGAGTAACTATCAATTTAAGAGATTTCAAAAATTAAAGTGTAGCATAAATAAACATTTTATAGGGAAAAAAAAGTGACAGACCCTATTACCTTAAATCAAAACCAAGAGAAGTCTAAGAAGATACATTCCAAAATTTTCAATTCCATTTCAAATCAATATAATAAAGTAATAATAGAGGGAAGCTACTAAAGTGTAGGAAAGGAGGTACAGAAATCAGTGAACAAGTATAATATTATCATTATTTTATTCCAGCCTCAAACTAAATGTTATGTAACATTTTGGTTGTTAAATGTGAGAAATATTTAAACAATATAAGAAGCAGGAAATAATATAAAATTATCTGCTTTATGTTGAGTCTTGACAAAATAAATAATAATAAAAACAATTTTAAAAAGAAATGATCCCTTTAAGAACAGCTGTCTGGGTCACCTTCCTGGTCAAGACACAAGAGACTGAATAGAACAATAATCAGATGAGACAAATTTGGCTAATCAATCACTCAATAAATGATATAAAAATATCTTAACAGTACCTTTTGTCAATGCCAAATGCCAACTGGTTGATAACGCCACGTATTTTTAGTAATAGAGCTTCTGATTTGCTGGTAAACTTTAAACAAATCAGGAGAACAAATTAAATGCTCTATTTTCTAATCACAGAAACAGATAAAATAAATATGGCTTTGAACAAGTACAGACTGCAAAGAGAATTACTATTTAGTTGCCCAACAAATACTTCTGTTTGAGTAGACAAAACAAAACTGAATAAAGAAATCTTAGTAACTTTAACTCGTTCTTCAAACTTAATGAGTACATGATGTGGAAAGGACTTGTGTTTATGCACTAATCATTTTAGCAACTCACACAAGTGGATCATAATCATTGTCAAGTAATTTCTTTAAAACGTATATATAAATGTATGTTTATAGGCTGTATGTGTGTAAACACACTCATTATGGTCTAAAAGAAAATTGTCCAAAATGCAGTGGGGTTGGTTAGAAAATAAGAGGTATACCTCAAAAGTAGCTTTTACATCCAAGGGCACATTGCTGCCTTCCAAAAAGTCATTGTGGGAGTGAAGACTGGTCTAATGACACTGATACTCAATAAAGTAATTTTTTAACTTCTTTTTGAATTGCTTTTGGTGCTTAAGCTACTTTTTCAGTGCTCGTATATAACCAGGGAGACCATAACCGGAATATTTCAGAGAATGAAAGGGACTGGGTATTATTAATAATTAAGCGTGATATCAGATCGAAACCAGGACATATGGTTACCCTACAAATGTTTAAAGACTAGATTGGATGCTAGGCTGGGCACGGTGGCTCACATCTGTAATCCCAGCACTTTCTGAGGCCAAGGCGGGCAGATCATGAGGTCAGGAGTTTGAGACCAGCCTGGCCAACATAGTGAAACCCCATCTCTACTAAAAATACAAAAATTAGCTGGGCATGGTGGTGTACGCCTATTGTCCCAGCTACTCGGGAAGCTGAGGCAGGAGAATCGCTTGAACCCGGGAGGTAGAGGTTGTGGTGAGCCAAGATCACACCACTATACTCCAGCCTCAGGCAACAGAGTGATACTCTGTCTCAAAAAAAAAAAAAAAAAAAAAAGACTAGATTGGATTTCTGTAGATACCAAAAGTCATTCATAGCCAAGCCAAAATGACTAAAAGGTATGGAAGCAGGAAAAACAACTTTGAACTGAAATGAAATGTAATTATGAAGCAACGATATCAGCATTATGGTTCCAATGGCTATTGCACAAGATAAGCTTCATTCTGGATTAAGAACAGAAAGTTCTTAATGCTCTCAGAGAAAGTATTCAAAAGAGAATGCTCGTGTATATGTAAGATCTGATACATTTATTTAAAAGAAAGCCATTGAAATAGTTGTAATGCTTCTACTGAGACAATGTTTAAAAATACCTATAGAAAACTTTAACTGAATTTAGAAATACAACTGCTGTGTTTAATTTTATTTTCTTTATGAGAAAGGAAAAACCTAGTCACAAACATATTTCATAGAACATAGGGCTGGGAGAACATTAGAAGTTTTCTAACCCAACTTCTGCATCTGGTGCATCAATCACTTGTAAAACATCTTTCACAAAGAGCTGTAGGCCTTCTGCTTAAACAAACTCAATGCCTGGGAATTCATCTCCCAAAATAATTCACTCTGTTTTCAGACAATGGCAGTATTAGAAAGTGCTTTCATCTTTTGAGTAAACTCTATTGATTCCTTTTTCTTTTTCTGGACCTTAGAATAGGAAAGAATGAATTTAGTCACTTTTCCATGGAATATTCCAACTATATAAGAGAGTTATCACATTGTAGATGATATTCTACTGGTCCTCATACATAATAATTTTAAGTCCCTGCCATTATGGTGGTTCTCCTCTGAATCTGGTCCTACTTATTAGTCTTCTCCTCCTCTTTTGGGGGGCGAGGAGCATGTTGGTTTTTTAAGAGATGGGGTCTTGCTCTGTTACCCAGGCTGGAGTACAGCAGTGCGATCATAACTCACTGTACCTCGAACTCCCAGGCTCAGGTAATCCTCCTGCCTCGGCCTCCTGAGTAGCTAGGACTACAGGCATGCACTATGATGATTGGCTAATTTTTTTTTTTTTTTTTGTAAAAATAGGGCCTCATTTTGTTGCCTAGGCTGGTCTTGAACCCCTGGCCTCAGGTGATCCTCCCACCTCACCCTCCAAGTGTTGAGATTAGAGGCAAAAGTCACCATACCCGGCCTGTTTTTTGTTTTTTATTAACTTAATTAGATTGTTCATAATATTGAATCAATACTCTCAACGGCACTATAAAGAATCAACTATAGTGTTGGGGGAAAAAGCCCTGCTAAATATCATGGAATTTTGCAAAGCAGTACCCAACTTTCTTCCTTAAATGGGGCAGAGGGTAAGAGGAGATGTGAAACTGAAAGATGAGGCTTTGATAACTTTGGCTGCATTCCTCTTGAAAGACCTTATGGTTCCTTTGGTGGTCCAGAAGTACTCTACTAACCCAAATCCTGTTCCTTTGGGCTTACTGAAAGCTGAGATGAAGCCCTTCTCAAAGCCATTCCCTGGTTCCTGATTTTGTTGGATCTCCTGGGCCACGGTTAATCCCAGGCTCGCTGTGGCCTGCGTTGACCTGGCTTCATCTAAATTTGTACCCATGAGACCAGACTGGGCCCTCCATCAAACATAATCTGTTCCTAAAGAAATAAAGGGATTTCCCTCAGCTAACTTTAACCAGAATTAAATGTGTGACCCTCACTAGTGGCAAAAATAAGTAACTGCAAGATCTTTACCTCTGTACCCTTGATGAGCCCTTCACTCATATCCTCTCAAAATAGTAAAGAAGAACATTTTCCAAAGTACCATGTCAACCTTATACATAAGCAAATACAATTCAAACATAAAAAGTGATCCTTTTTAAGAAAATACATAATGAAATGTATTTGTAATGTTTTGAAAGGTATACAAACCGAGAATACATATTTTGTACATTTTACTTTCAGTCAAAATATTCTAGCCATGAAGGCAAGGGGCTGGACCATGTTGTCTCTAGGTTCCTCGGAGTGCTTTAATTTGGAGGAAAAAAAGAGACCATTAAATAATTACTCAAATGTAAAGAAAAAATTTTTCTTCTTTGAGACAAGGTCTCCCTCTGTTGCCCAGTCTGGAGTGCAGTGGTGTGATTACGGCTCACTGCAGCCTTGAACGCCTGAGCTCACATCATCCTCCCACCTCAGCCTCCCAAGTAGGTGGGACCACAGGTGTGTGCCACCATACCCAGCTAATTTTCAAAATTTTTTGTACAGACAGATTCTCGCCATGTTGCCCAGGATGGTCTCAAACTCCCGAACTCAAGTGATCCTCTCACTTTAGCATCCCAAAGTGTTGGGATTACAGGCGTGAGCCACAGCACCCAGCTGGACATTTTTTAAATAAAAATATTTTTCTATTTTACTATATTAAAGGACATTTAGTAAAGTTTGGTCCTGCTATGGGAGATAATGATAACAGTGATGATAAAAGCCAACATTTATTGTTGGATAATACTGTTCTAGGCCTGGTGCTAAGCATTTCACATGTACCCCCTCTTTGAATCATCACAACAACCCTATGAAGAAGATACAATTTTTCTCCATTTTACCCTGGAGGACAATGAGGCTTAAGGGAAATTAAGTGACTTGCCTAAGATCACATGTCTAATAAATGGTCACCCTGAGATTAGAACCCAGGAAGCATGACTTCAGATTTCATGTTTTTAACTTTTACAACAAACAGAACTTTTTTTTAAGACCCGTTACCCCCAATAAACAAAACTGTTAAAGTTGCTTTTTGTTTTTCTTTTAAGGGAATATAGATTCTAATTCTTAAGGGGATGCTAAAAATGAATAAATAGATTATCAACTTATCTCTTTAAGCTTGATTGGGGTTTATGGATATAAGCAATTCAGAACTTTTGCTCCAAAGAAGGGGGAGACCATCTAGCAGTGCATGTTCAACAGGTACATTATCAAATGCTCTGTAAGGAGAGGTCTTCGGCAGTGGGAAAGCAATGGGACCATGCACATTAGCAAAAGCATTTATTCCTCATAGTTGTGTATCAAGTTGCTAATCTCCCCAAATTTGGTACTGTCCATTCAAGCCCAAAGAACAAGAAACGTACAAACCATTAATGATGCTCCATAATAATGTGCAACAAATCGAAGTGTCTTGCATATTACCTTTCTCTTCTCAGACTCAAAATCCTGTAGAAATACGTTATTTAAAAATAGTCAAGGTAACAAAATATCTATAGCAGGAAGATTCAAATTATTAAATGTAGAAGTAGATTATTTCTTATTTTTTTAAACTCACCTTCAGGAATAGGATTCCATTACCTTGATATTTGTTTCATAGAGGGTCGAACAACAGCTGCAGCCTTCTTAGAGCTACAGCTATCAGATCTTTCTTTGTTTAAATACTTAGCTCAATAGAATTCAGATATAAGCACACATTTCATAGTGTAGAACACCCTAACGATTCTCTGACAAGCAAAGATAAGAAGAAACTAATTTTCTACTTCCTTCAATTTAAAAGTTGGCAAGTAAGTCCTATTCCCCAGTGACTGAGTTGAAGATTTTTTTCTTTTCTTTTTAAGAGACAGTGTCTTACTGTGTAACCCAGGCTGGAGCACAGGGGTGTGATTAAAGCTCACTGTAACCTCAGATTTCTGGGCTCAAGTGATCCTCCCTCTTCAGCCTCCCAAAGTGCTGGGACTACTGGCATAAGCCACTGTGCCCAGCTAGATTCATTTTCTAAACCTGCCTATCCCCATTCTAATCATTGCGTTTATTTTCTTTACCTATTTTTTTCTGTCCCTACTATATCTTCTATTCCAAAATCTTTAAGATATGTGACTTATTAACCTGTTCTTTCAAGAATTACTTTTTTTATTTTGACACTATTTTGGTACCTTCCTCATAAAAAGCACAGCCATGTATGTACAATGAACTCAGCTAGAAGAGCTGAGAAGAGCTTACCTGAAAAATATCATATTTACTTCCAATAATGACCAGAGGTACTGGAAATGGGTCAATTATTTCACGATCCTGTTAATAAACACATTGCACTGATTTATTATAATTCTCTCTCATTTTTTTTCTTTTTTTGAGATACAGTCTCACTCTGTAGCCCAAGCTGGACTGCAGTGGCATGATCTCACTGCAACCTCCACCTCCTGGGTCCCAGTTCAAGCAATTCTCCTGCCTTAGCCTCCCAAGTAGCTGGAATTACAGGCATGTGCCACGATGCCCGGCTAATTTTTTTTTTTTTTTGGTATTTTTAGTAGAGATGGGGTTTCACCATGTTGGCCAGGCTGGTCTTGAACTCCTGACCTTGTGATCTGCCTGCCTTGGCCTCCCAAAGTGCTGAGATTACAGGTGTGAGACACCACTCTTGGCTGATTTATTATAATTCTTTATTGTTATGTGCTCAACAATTTCTATTTACTTCCAAAAATTTTCAGTCTCTTCATAGATGTTTACTTAATTTGCTTGACATAGAATTTGTTCCAGTATTTAACTTTTCACTTCCTAAGCAATGTTTCATAAGTGTAAAACTAGAAATGGCAATTCCCTAAATTACTATGATATTTATTCTTTTCCCTTTTCCACCCTTTTATTTTCTTATATATAAGATTACCTTTCTGGGTTTTTTTTTTTTTTTCTGTTTTATGTTAACTGTTTGTGGAATAGCATTTATCTAGCATAGATTTGTTCTGTTACATAACTTCCTATGTAAAACACTTTCTTATAAACTCTGGATAATATAAAATGCTGCTCTTAGTTTTCTAGATGATGATATTTATGATTGTATTTGAAGAACCTGTGTTACTATCACAGCAACTTTATAATTTAACTAGCTGTCAGATGATCAAAAGATATTGAATAAGTGACAGAACTAAATAAATGTAAAATACAGAGTGACGGTGAAGGCTATTAAAACTCTACCCCTTGCTTAAAGTTGTAGCTTCATCTAGTCTTTGTCAGGTGACTTTGAACAATCTGGATTTTTATCTACATTTTTACAGAGATTATAAAATCAATATCAAACCACTACTTTAAAACTCTATTTCTCTGATTGGTGTAATATGCCATTATAATCACAGTAGATGTCTAACAAGAAGACGTAAGGAATCTTTTTCCTTGTTTTGCTCTTACTGAGATTTTAATAAATTGCTGTAATTTTCCAGTGAACAAGTTCATCTACATCAAATGAATTTCAAGTCATGCATAAAAATCTAAAGAAGTTGTTTGTGATGTTATCATTAACTATACATGAGGCTAAGGATTCTAGTAATAATTCCAAACAGCAACTCACAGGATGGTCCTTCTGCATATTATTCCAGATCTTCTGTCTCATTTCAGAAACTGCTTTAGAATTCGTCTTTCCCAGTTTCATTATCACCTTGTCTACATGGCTTTTTGTGGCTTGCAAGAGATTTTCCATGGTGGGCCAAAGATCATTAGGTTTTGAAAGATCCAGAACAAGAACAAGAGAAAACATCCTAAAGAAATTAAAAACGTCTTTCAAAAAAGACTCAAAATAATTACCATTTTGAAACCCTAATGTACTGGAACTTATCAAAGAATAACTAAAATATACCTTAAGGAAAAAAAAAAAAGCAAAAACCATAGCATTATTCTAAGAGTCAAAAAAAAAAAACAAAAACAAAAAACCAAAAGAATAGCCTTATTTATTCTAATACTTTCCTCTAGTGATATTTAAGTGTTACAACTAATAGTGGAACTACGTTTCTGTTGAACTAAAAGTAGTTTAGTTCAAACAGAGAAGCTGCAAGCATTAGGGTCGACAATGCTGTGTTTACATCCCATTTTACTATGCGCTCCAAAAAGCAAAGCAAAAAAAATAAAAGAAGCCCAAACAATAACACAATAATCAGGTAAAGGAGAAGAAAACAGATGTATGGATGGACCTTGCTAGAGAACTCTCTAGTTAATCTCCACAATAACCCTCTCCAGAAGATGTTATAATGTCCATTTTATAGATTAGAAGTCTCTGGCACAGATTTATATATTAGTAAATTGTAGAACCAGTATTTAGATCCAAAGTTACATGTTTTTCTGTGATACCATTCTGTCTCTCTGCAAGCACATCCCTGACCACCAGCTATGGCACCACCATCACCATATGCACTTGCATTCTGTTCATGCACATCACACATAAATCTAAACTCAGCAACAAACATTCCTGTTCAAAAATGGGCAAAGAGGCCAGGTATGGTGGCTCATGTCTGTATTTCTAGAGCTTTGGGAAGCTGAGGCAGGAGGATCTCTTGAGGTCAAGAGTTCAAGACCAGCCTGGGCAACAGCAAGACTCCATCTCAACTATATTTAAAAAAAAAAAAGAAGGCAAAAGACTCAAATAGCCATTTCTCCAAAGAAGATATACAGATGGCCAAAAAACACATGAAAAGATGTCCAACTTCCTACCCAATAGGCTATTGTCAAGATTTCTTTTCTTTTCTTTTTTTTTTTTTTTGAGGAGGAGTCTATCATCCAGGCTGGAGTGTAATGGCATGATCTTGGCTCACTACAACTTCTGCCTCCTGGGTTCAAGTGATTCTCCTGCCTCAGCCTCCAGAGTAGCTGGGATTACAGGTGCACGCCACCACATCCAGCTAATTTTTGTATTTTTAGTAAAGACGGATTTCACTATGTTGCCCAGGCTGGTCTCAAACGCCTGACCTCAGGTGATCTGCCCGCCTCAGCCTCCCAAAGTATTGGGATACAGGCATGAGCCACTGTGCCTGGCCTAAAAGATTTTTTTAAATGAGAAAATAACAAGTATTAGTGAGGATACAGAGAAATTAGAACCGCTATACATTGCTTATGGGAATGTAAAATCGTAGAGCCACTGTGGAAAACAGTAATAGTGATTCCTCAAAACATTCACTGTAGAATTACCAGATGATCCAGCAGTTCCACTTCTGAGTCTATGCCCAAAAGAACTGAAAGAAGAGATTTAAACAGATAGTGTACACCAGTGTTCATACCAGCATTACTCATAATAGTCAAAAGATGGAAATAATCCAAATGTTCATGGATAGATTAATGGATAACTAAACTGTGGTATCTGTTTATACAATGGAACATTATTTGGCCTTATAAGTGAGGAAAATCCTGACACATACTACAACGTGGAAGAACCCTGAAGACGTTATGCTAAATGAAATAAATAAATAAATAACAAAAGGACAAATAATGAATGATTTCATTTATACGAGGTACTAGAGTGGCCAAATTCATAGAGACAGACAGTAGGGATGATGGCTACCAGGAGCTGGGGAAGGGAAAAATAAGAAGTTATTGTTAAATAGGTAAAGAGTTTCAGTTTGAGAAGATTAAAAAGTTCTGGAAATGGATGGTCATGAGAATATACTTAATGCCACTGAACTGCACAGTTAAAAATGACTAAATTTTTATGCTATGTACATTTTACCACAATAAAAACTAAGCATACATAAATCTAGGTGTTTTTTTTTTCTCTTTTTTTTGAGATAGAGTCTTGCTGTGTTCCAGGCTGGAGTGCAGTGGTGCGATCTCGGCTCACTGCAACCTCTGCCTTCTGGCTTCAAGCTATTCTCCTGCCTCAGCCTCTTGAGTAGCTGGAATTACAGGCAAGTGCCACCATGCCTGGCTAATTTTTGTATTTTTACAAAAATACATGGTTTCACCATGTTGGCCAGGCTGGTCTTCAACTCCTGCCTCGTGATCCGCCCACCTCGGCCTCCCAAAGCGCTGGGATTACAAGCATGAGTCACCACACCCAGCCTCTACGAGTATTTTTAAAATGGTTATATTAAGTATGTAGAACCATAATCCTTGATGGTTTAGGATTCTATACAATATATCCAATATATCCGTGATCAACACAGTAAACATTCTGCTAGAAGACACGGCACCAAATTATAACATATGTTATTTAATTATTTTGTTTAGTTCAAGTAAACAGCGTATTTTGTATAATTCTAGCAAAACAGTAACAATTCTGTTGGTCTCAATTCAGAAAGTAGTCTTTTACACATTAATTATCAAATTTTCTAAAAATTATTCTGATATTATATTGCCTAGCCAATTATATTTATATCATTTTAATAAGCTCATAAACAGTTTTGCTTAACTATAAAAATAATATATACATTTTTAATGGTATTAATTTTATTTTTAGGGTTTTGGTATGGTTATGTTTCAACTATGGTTTAACATTTTTCCATTGTGATGAAATGGATACAACAAAATATATTTTTTTCAAGTGAAAAATTATTTTAAGCAAAAGAAAAATGAATTGCTATAATTTTTTTCCAAGATTAAAATTTTTGTTCACAGTATATTGGAAATACTTTTGTTACTTTTTACCTTTTTCATAGCAAATGACAGCCAAAACATTTTTTTAAACAAACCCTTAAAACAGAGATTCAGACCACAGGAAATGTTCTATTACAAACTGTCTAAACTCTGTGGAAATGTTTGATGCATTTATAATTCTATGAACAGTTATTTCAAAGATAAACAGTATCTAACAGTATTTGGCAATATTATTTTCTCAAGTTGTGGGACTTCATCCAACATAAGGAAATTATGTGTCAAACTAATTCTAGTCAAAAACACTTTGAGATTAGCAACCATATGAAGAATGAAATATTTTCCATGAATTATTTAACCACTCAGCAACCTACTTTGGACCCAAGCCTACCGCTCCCTTTCCCCCTGTTGATCGTAACTCTGACCCTTCCTCTCTCCTAAAGCAGGCTCCAGCTGTCCTGAGACTCCAGGGAAAGGAAGACCAAGACCTCACAAATGAGGTATTAACCCTTGGGAAGATCTGGATTTCTACAGAACCTAGAATTTCCACGAGCCCAGCAGGCCAAAACCTTTTGGGCCTTGAAAAGGGTAATGAGGTAATGTAACAAGTCCATCAGAACAGGAGCCAATTCCCAACCCAGGTAAGAGCCAGCTTCTGTATTTTCACCCTTTCAGCCTCTGGCTACTCTAACTGGAAGCTCCTCCTGCCCTCACTATTTCTCTCTCTCTTTTTTTTTTTTTAAAGAGACAATGTCTCACTCTGTCACTCAGGCTGGAGTATAGTGGTATGATCATAGCTTACTGCAGCCTCGAACTCCCTGGCTCACACAATCCTCCTGCCTCAGCCACCTGGGTAGCTGGGACTACAGAGGCATGCTACGATGTCTAATGTTATTTTTTAATTTTTTTGTAGAGATGGGATCTCACTATGTTGCGGAGGCTGGTCTTGAACTCCAGGCCTCAAGTGATCCTCTAGCGTTGGCCTCTCAAAGTGCTGGGATCACACGTGTGAGCCACCACACTCAGCCCCTCACCATCTCTTCTCAACCACGCCACTAGGCACTATTCCCTGGCAGCTTCACTTATTTGTCTCCATTAAAGAGAGACAAATGACAAATGATGTAACTGTAAAATTCCATCTTCTAAAAAATAGTATCATAGGGAAAAGTGTTGAAAAGTGAAAAAGCCAGATCTAAATATGTATACAAAATATCACAAATTCTGTACAAAGTCTATTTACAAACACCGAAAAGGCTGAAAGGAATACCTCAACATGTTAAAGTGGTTTTTAAAATGTGATTCTAGTTTCTTCTACTTTCTTTGTGTCTTTCAGCATTTTTACAAGTTTTCTATGTGAGCATACATGACTTTTGTAATAAGTGAAAGAAAGTAAATCATATTTCACTAAAAGGAAAAAAAAAAAGACAAAACGAAGCCAACTGTCTCCAGCCAGTTCTAGAGAAACAACTGTCCCATTAACAAGAAACAATTCCATCCTCCCAGGGGCTTAATGGCCAACATGGAACAACTAATTGTCAAGCCCTTTGTATTAGATCCAGGCAGCAGCAATGGTTTATGTTAAACTCTACAAATAAAATATTTCAGATTTTAAAATATTTGTTTTTCTTAGCTAAGACCAATTCCCAGGAACACTGTAAGAAATGTCACAATTTTCCACATATTTGGCCAACATGTGGGAGTTACTGTCAGAAAAACATCACTCAAGTGTTTTGAGGTTTTCCCCTAGGTTCTATTTCTCTAAGGTCAGCAAACAGAGAGACTTTCTCTCTCCTCCGACAGACAGTCTTCCTTTAAATGAAGCTTCAAGAATACTAATTAGCATTAAATACAAAGGTAGACTTACAGTACTCAGATAAAGAAAAAACTCAGAATCGAATTAACTCACACCGAGACGGATATGGGAAAGAATTAAGCTTTTCAAAATTGCTTTTATGAAATGAATTCATTGCCCAAGTGTAATGTGGTGTATTTTTTTTGTTTGTTTGCAGCTTGCAAAATATGTTAGTAGGGGGAATGTCAGCTATCTCACTTCAGCACAGGCCAGAATCTTGGTTCTTTTAAAACTCCTTTGAAAACATTAGAGTTTAAGCATTTAGAAAGGAAGTGGGCACAAGCCTTCAGCAACATAAAACTGTACCCCAAAATTCTGACTGAGAAAAGCCAACTCATATTCCTCCTGGGGATACTCCTGTGTACTTACAGCTTTTCCTGGAGCTGGCTCACTTACCGTAATGTGTCACTTGTGATAGGTATGCTGATTAAGTCCAATAAGGAGGTTCCTCCACCCAGTTCCCAAAAGTGAGCAATATCTTTTGGCTGAAAAACAAAAATTTTTGATTTTTGAATTTTAAGTACTTCTTATACATCATTAGCACTTGCCAGTAATAATTAAACATACAAAATATTGTAGTCCTTAACCATTTCTTGGCAGTCAAAACTTTCTCCTTTATCTCATCCCTCAAAATGCACCAAAGCACCTATTCTAAACAAAAATGATGAAATATTAAGAATTGTCTATATGTGTATACAAATGCCCAAATGCCCTAATTCTAGTAATATCTTAACAGAAGACACAAACAGTGCCTCAATTTTGTAAATGACATATGTAACATACACTTACACAGATTTTAGATAAAAAGTAACCAGTTGAACAAATTTGTATTATCTTTTTGAAACATCGATAATTCTAGATAGAAATAAAACAGGTGAATAGGAAAACATTCTTATTTAGGAAGACAGAAGCTCACAGAATGAATTAGACACACGTAAGGCATGAAGAAAAAGAATGAACAAATGGCAGTCCTGGCTGCGGATCAAGATTACTTGAGCAAAAGTATAAGGAGACAATTTGTTCCTGATTCCTGTGGAGAATCTGAGTCTACCACTGACAATAACACATGGTAGGTGGGGGAATAAGAGATCAAACAACTGCTTCTCTTTTTTATAGGGCCCTCAAAATAATAGGAAACTAACAAGGCTAGGCAGTCAAGAAGTTCAGAAATAAGATCATCTAGGGCTGGGTGCAGTGGCTCACACCTGTAACCTCAGCACTGCAGGAGGCCAAGGCTGGAGGATCACTTGAAGCCAGGAGTTCAAGGTCAGTCTGACCAACACAGTGAGACCCCATCACTACAAACAATTTTTCAAAATTAGCTGAGTATGGTGGTGCATGCTTGTAGTGAATTTGGGGGGACAATTTACTTGGGAGGCTAATTTGGGAGGATTCTTTGAGCCCAGGAGTTTGAGGCTGCCGTGAGCTATGATCCTGCCACTGTACCCCAGCCTGGGCAACAAAGTGAGACCTTGTCTCCGAAAGAAAAGAAAAAAAGGAGGACCATCTATTCCATGAGGCCTCCCTAGACTATTGGCTAATGGCATTTCTGCTTCTGTCCTGACACTGAGGAGCCTTCAGGTCACTGAAATTCTGTGAGGAGCTGACAAAGTACTTCTATTTAGAACTCTCAAGGAATTAAATCTGAGAAAGACGTGATGCTTCCAGAATGAATTTGGAAATATCCTACTTGATAGTACAAAGTTTAGAGGAAAAAAATAGGTGAAAAAGAATCACACAAGTTTTTATCTATCTGCTCCCATGAGCCTGTAAGAGACAGATTATCAATAAAATAAATTTCAGATGAATACATATTATTTTGAATTTTTGACAAATTTTCATCTTGTAATCACTATGATTGTTTGGCTGTTCATATACGAATCATTAATTTTTGCGGGAAAAGTAATTCTTCATTGGAAAATCTCCCTCAATTCAAAATTTGATAAAGGGAAGTTTTTAGAGCTCTTCTGAAAAGTTAAGCTTATGAGAGCTGCCTCAAAGTTTCCAATGAAAAGCAATAATTACATTTCTAGGCTTATCGCTCATGTCAAAATTCAAGTGAGTCACAAAAACGAAGTCCTCCTGTATCTCTATATATTATGTTTTTTTCTTTAAATTTCAGCTTTAATAACCCACTCTCCTTGGCAAATCCTGGAAGCAACAATAGGCAGTTTTATCTCTTTGTATACTGCCTAATGAGCAAAACACTCGACTAAGTCAGTGTATAAAAATGCGCCTTGGTTATGGGAGTAGCAGGATGCTCCATTCTAGATTGACCTTACACACACTTAACTTTATTTAAGAAAGGACCTCTTTTCAGGTGACAACTCCAAAAAGATTCTATTTAGGAATTCCCCACCCCACCCCCTGCCAACATATACTATAAACCCACCTTCTATCCTGAATAGTTTATAATGTTCCTCTAAAGAGACATTAAAACAAGTAAAAATAGGATTATAACCAAGTAGGGCATATGATCTCAACTAGCACTATCAACTTCAAGACACATTTTTATTTTTATTTTATTTATTTATTTTGAGACGGAGTCTTGCTCTGTCACCCAGGCTGAAGTGCAGTGGCGCAATCTCGGCTCACTGCAACCTCCGCCTCCCGGATTCAAGTGATTCGCCCGTCTCAGCCTCCTGAGTAGCTGGGATTATAGGCACACATCATCACGCCCGGCTAATTTTTGTATTTTTAATAGAGAAGGGGTTTCACCATGTTGGCCAGGCTGGTCTCAAACTGTTGACCATGTGATCCACCAGCCTTGGTCTCCCAAAGTGCTGGGATTACAGGTGCGAGCCACTGCACCCAGCCCAAGATGCATTTTTAAATGCTAATAATTTAGATTTTAAACAGCGTATTTTCATAAATACTCCACAGGTCAAACTCATATTTCAGCAGATTTTTGAGAGACAGAAAGTAACTCACAACACTATTCTCATGAACTGTACAATAAAGTTAAAAAGGCATCTTATTCTAGCATTTTAAGACATAACAAATGAGAAGGCTAAAATCTTTTCACAGTTTGGGTTGGCTTCCTATCTGCCACACTGCATTTGAAGTTTAAGGGTAGACAGTTATGAAGTGTACAACTGGGTATGTTTATTGATTACAGATAAGATGGAAAATGTAAAACAAAGTCAGCAGCATTACTTTCCCATCTTATGGGCATAGCAATATCACTTTAAAAGACACTTACTGTGCTGGGTGTGGTGGCTCATGCCTGTAATCCCAGCACTTTGGGAGGCTGGGGCAGTCAGATTACTTGAGGTCAGGATTTCCAGACCCACCTGGCCAATATGGTGAAACCCCATCTCTACTAAAAATACAAAAATTAGCCAGGTGTGGTGGCAAGCGACTATAGTCCCAGCTACTTGGGAGGCTGAGCTAGGAGAATCACTTGAACCCAGGAGGCAGAGCTTGCAGTGAGCTGAGATCGTGCCACTGCACTCCAGCCTGGACAAGAGCGAGACTCCAATTGAAAAAAACAAAACAAAAAAAACCACTTACTGTGTTGTGCCCTTTTGCTCTTCTTCCATATGTATACTCCAAAGCTAAGGTTGGTTTTGGTGGCTCATCTCTGTATAATAAAGGCAGATAGTATTATCATTGTGGGTGGTGTTAGTTTCTTATGTTATCATCGTACCTGATTCATTTTTCCTTCCTCTTAGAAACTCTATTAGTAGAGAAGTTACTTTGTATAATAGCATTGAGATATATGTACAAAATAAATGAACCTTCAAAACACCAGCTTAGTGGATTTTAATGGTGCCTGCATGATGTGGTAGCCCCTAAAGGCACAGCTGCGGCAAGTGGAGAATGAGTTGAGGCTGGCAGTGTGGATGGCCACGTTGGGCACTAGATCTCCACATCCAGGCCATATAGGAAGCACTGACATTGGGTTTATGCTCAGCCTTGACGTGAGGTGCTAGGAACCTAATGCAATTTAAAACATCAATGCAAGACTTGGCCAGGCATGGTGGCTCATGCCTGTAATCCTAACACTTTGGGAGGCCAAGGCGGGTAAACTGCTTGAGTTCAGGAGTTTGAGACTAGCCTGGGCAACATAGCAAAACCCTGTCTCTACAAAAAAAAGTAGGGCACGCCTGTAGTCCCAACTACTCAGGAGGCTGAGGTGGGAGAATCGCTGGAGCCTGGGAGAATTGCTTGAGCCTGGGAGGTCGAGGCTGCAGTAAGCTGAGATTGTGCCACTGCACTACAGCCTGGGTGACAGAGTAAGGCCCTGTCTCAAAAAACAAAAACAATGCAAGACTTTAATACAGTCCTCTATCTTAAATCACAGTTCAAACACGGGTATCATTTAGCTAGTGATAGTTAATAAATCATATCAACAAATCCTTAAAATCAGTAATAATTAGGAAAACATTAAAACAATTTGCTGAATTATTTATACTATAGCTTATATTGCTGGTAAGCAGTTTATGATATATATTTATTTTTATTATGGTAAAGAATGCAAAATAGAATTTATCTTAACCATTTTTAAGTGTACAATTCAGTAGTATTAAACATATTCACGTTGTTATATAACCTGTATTCAGCACTTTTTCATCCACAAGACTAAAACTCTATACTCATTAAACAACTCCTTGGCCAGGCATGGTGGCTCACATCTGTGATCCCAGCACTTGGGAGACCAAGGCAGGTGGATCACCTGAGGTCAGGAGTTCAAGACCAGCATGGCCAACATGGTAAAACCCCATCTCTACTAAAAATATAAAGAAAAATGAGCCAGGTGTGGTGGTGAGTGCCTGTAATCCCAGCTGAGGTAGGAGAATTGCTTGACTCTGGGAGGCAGAGGTTGCAGTGAGCCAAGACCACACCATTGCCCTCTAGCCTGGGCAACAAAAATGAAGCTCCATCTCAAAAAAAAAAAAAAAAAAAACTCCTCATTTTCCCTTCCCCCTAGTCCTTGGTAACCACCATTCTACTTTTTGTTTCTATGAGTTTGATTATTCTAGATATATAAGTGAAATCATACCATATTTGGTTTTTTTTTTTTTTTTTGCAGTGGTACAATCTTGGCTCACTGCAACCTCTGTCTCCCGGGTTCAAGCTATTCTCATGCCTCCCAAGGAGCTGGGATTACAGGGGCCCGACACCACGCCCAGCCAATTTTTGTATTTTTAGTAGAGACAGGGTTTCACCATGTTGGCCAGGCTGGTCTCAAACTCCTGACCTCAAATGATCTGCCCATCTTGGCCTCCCAGAGTGCTGGGACTATAGGTGTGAGCCACCATACCAACCCAATATTTTTTTGTGTGTGTCTGGCTTATTTCACTTAGCATAATGCCCTACAGGTTCATCAATGCTGTAGCATGTGACAGAATTTCCCTCCTTTTTAAGGCCAAATAATATGGGTACATATCTTTATTTTACTTTCTTATTTTATTTTATTGAGACGGGGTCTCCCTCTGTTAGTCAGGCTAGAATGCAGTGGCATGATCGTGGTTCACTGCAGCTTCAACCTCTCAGGCTCAAGTGATCCTCCCACCTCAGCTTCCTGAGTAGCTGGGACTACAGGTGTGCACCACCACAACCAGTTAATTTTTGTATCTTTTGGTATAGATGAGTTCTCACTATGTTGGCCAGGCTGGTCTTGAACCTGGGATGACTAATCCACCTGACTTGGCCTCCCAAAGTGCTAGGATTATAGGCATGAGTCACTGCAGCCAGCCCCATATCTATATTTAAATTGTAGAAGATAAAAGATTTTTAAATTTGTGACATATATTTATGTTTATTAAATATTTTGAATATCACCACTGCATATATCTTTTGAATACATTATATACAGAGTAATATTTGGTTATATTTCCCAAAAGACAGAAATTTTCTTACTCTGTTGCCCAAGCTGGAGTGCAGTGGCCTCAGCTCACTGCAACCTCTGCCTCCTGGGTTCAAGCAATTCTCCTGCCTCAGCCTCCTGAGTAGCTGGGATTACAGGCATGTGACATCACGCCCAGCTAATTTTTGTATTTTTAGTAGAGACAGGGTTTCACCATGTTGGTCAAACTGATCTCGAACTCCTGACTTCGTCATCTGCCCACCTCGGCCTCCCAAAGTGTTGTGATTACAGGCATGAGCCACTGTGCCCAGCCAGAAGTTTTCCTTTATCAAGCAAAATGCTACTTTTAAGACAAAATTTATAAGATCTGATATTTAACCTAAATTTTGTACAATCGCCCTTTTCCTAAGCAGACGATTAAGGAATTGAAATTATTACTTTTCAAGTCAATGTACTATTTTGTAGTATTTTCTCCTAAGCTGGTGTTGTATTAGATGATATGTTTATGACAGAAACAGCAAAATGTGTCTAAAAAGACCCATGATTCCTGGAGATGGAAAGACAAAACAGGTTTTACTGTTGATAGTTCCTCTGAGAAATGACTCTGCTGGTGAAAGAAATCACACAAAACTAGGAATTTATTATTTGTATTCTTTAATAATATTTTTCAAATGAGTGATATTTCTTTATGTGACCTTAACACCAAATTCCATCTCTTTTGATGATTTGGGAGAAGTTATAAGAAATATGTATTGAAATGAAGGGAACAGAGAAATATCTTCCAAAATTGATTGAAGACTTTCCTTATCAGCTTCCTGCAACATCTATCAATCATAATCCTAAATGTTAATCTGATGGCCTGCTTCTACAGTGTAGGTTAGAAAGTATATAAAAGAAAGGATAAAATATCCAGTTTGAGGACCAACATTGTGCTTCAAAAATGTATCCCTGAGCAACTAAAGCTTCCAATGAATGTTCAAATAATCATAGATTTGGCAGAATAAAATAATTTAAATACCAGAATAGCATAGCCAAAAAGAAGGTAAATACATTGTAGGCTGGATCATTACCGTAACATTTCTCCCTCAAATAGGGAAACCCAGTATTAATCTCATAGCATTTTTGGCTTATTGTTAGTTTTATCTTTAAAGGTGCTCTTAAAGGTGATACTAAGGATTCACTAAGAATTAAATATTTTGTTTGAGTCTTAAAATCATTCCCCTTCCTTATGTCTTTTAGGATCTAACTTGCCCTATACAACTAGAGTAAGCATAAATGTAGTTTAAAGGTTAATATAACACTTACCTGTCAAGACACCTTAGAATAATAGAAGTCTTTCCCTGGAAATTAAAAAAGAAGGAATACTGTGTTAATGTCATTCATATGTAAAATGGTATTATTATTCATAATTGTGGCCCAAAATAGCTTTTTAATCACTTGAATGATAAATTACCTGGAAACTAAAAACTAGAAACTTTCAGAATTGTTCTAAAGTTTAATAAGTGGAAAAAGTTAACTGTCAACTTTCCATCACAGTGTAACTACACTGCTATTATTATAATTATAAAGTCCCACAGATGACAAATACTAGCAAACCATACCTCACTTAAGTGGTCAACTTGGCAGCTGTCTTAAATTTTTCTCTACTCATCAATGCTAATTACTGGTTAAGCTGATGCTTAGTGTCTTTTAAAATGTTTTAATTCCAATTGTTGAAGCGGAAATAAAGAAAAAAGATAACATACAAATAAAGGACACATTGCAAATATGTTCAAAGTAAGCAGCAATTCAGATACTGCACTAGAGTAATTTGTTTTAATTACAGAGGATGTACTCATTCCAAGTTTCTTTTTCTTTTTCTTTTATTGTGTTTTTGAGACAGAGTCTCACTGTATCACTGAGGCTGGAGTAAGGTGGCATGATCTCAGTTCACTGCAGCTTCCACCTCCTGGGCTCAAGTGATTCTTGTGCCTCAGCCTCCTGTGTAGCTGGGATTACGGGTGCACGCCACCACACCCAGCTAATTTTTGTATTTTTAGTAGAGACAGGGTTTTTCCATGTTGGCCAGGCTGGTCTTAAACTCCTGGCCTCATGTGATCTGCCCACTTTGGCCTCCCAAAGTGCTACCACACCTGGCCCCAAGTTTCTTTTCAGGAATTCTGGCCTAATTGCTACTACTAGTTATGCAACTTAACTTCACAGTTTAGCCAGGGACTAGCTCAGTGGTTTACATCATTTTAAAAAAATAGTAAAACCTTTTTTTTTTTTTTTTTAAAAAAAAAGATCCCTTACAAAGAAACAGATAAAAGAGAAACAGCAGGGCAAGCTCCACTGGTGGAAACCTTCAGGCTCCAAAGAAAATAATTTGAAAAACTCTGGATTGTCAAAAACACAGAACATTTAATATATGTGTTTTTGGTTTTACTAAAAAACCTATAGCTTTTACCAAAAGAAGGTAATTACTTCAGGCTATATCTGGAATATGATCAAATTGAAGAACTGTTTTGTAATGAGATATATCAAAAAATAACCGGGCCAGGCATGGCGGCTCATACCTGTAATCCCAGCACTTTGGGAGGCTGAGGCGGGTGGATCACAAGGTCAAGAGATGCAGACCATCCTGGCTAATATGGTAAAACCCTGTCTCTACTAAAAATACAAAAATTAGCTGGGCGTGGTGGTGTATGGCCTGTAGTTCCAGCTACTCCGGAGGCCGAGGCAGGAGAACTGAACGCACAAGGCAGAGGTTGCAGTGAGTTGAGACTTCTCCACTGAACTCCAGCCTGGTGACAGAGTAAGACTCTGTCTCAAAAAATAAATCATTGGAATAGTATAATATAAAAATGTACATTATTGAAGGATGTTTACTGGCTGGTGTTATATCAAACTGAATAACTAAAAAAACCCTACATGTTCCCAAATAGGGGACTGGCTATATTAATTATGGTAATCCATACAATAGAATACTATACAGCTATTAGGTATGACAATATAGAAATATACTTACTGACATAGTAAGACATTCATAATAGATTAGCATGACTCTGTTTGCATTAAAAAATACCTTTTCCTGTTTCCTTGAAGTACACACACACACACACACACACACACACACACACACACACACAGAAAGAGAGAGAGAGAGAGAGAGAGAGAGAGAGAGAGAGAGAGAGAGAGAGAGAGA